CAGATGATCATACTGACCTATTTTTACGGGAGATTGGCACATCACTTTGATTTCAATAGCATTATGTTAAAAAGAGAATTTTTTGGAGCATTCCAGATTTTATATTTTACCTGGTCCAGATTTTTCTGAAAATGACCTGGCAACGCTGCGACACATTAGAGAAAATTCTAGAACTTGTTGTGAAAGCCCAGCTGTTGGAATTTTTGAATAACAACTCTTTATTGATAACCGGAATATTCAGGATATCGGGAAGGTCATTTTTGTGAAACTGCATTGAATTTGGTGTTAGCAAAGTGGAAAGACAACTTGGAGCGCAAAGATAAGACTGTTGTGGTTTGTTTGGAACTAAAACGCACTTTTGAAACAATTTCTAGGCCCTTATTGTTAAGTACAATCGCGCGCTTTGGAACTATGAGCTCTGCATATAGTAAGTTGCGGCTTACCTGCCAGCCTGTAGCTGGCACAATTTACGAGCAAGGGTACTTCCCCCAAAGTCGTTCGGATTTTGGTGAAACAACAAAACAACAAGAAGGAATCAATTGGGTTGTTTAACTTCGAGAAATATACCGGTTTTCTGAGCACAACGATATTTTTTATCGATCTTGTAGGCATTCATCTCTATTTTTAAACCAAGATGTAAATTTTTGATCGTTGACACTAAATCTATTCGTTCACAGCTCGCTCCCATACAAAGTCCCAACAAGGTGATTTTTGCTAATGTAATCGTACTTATTTAAAATAGTTCAAGTGTACCAAAACTGATGAAATTTTGGATTTCGGTTCCATTTTCAATGCAGATAACGAATATCAATACCCCATCAACAATCCAATTGTAGACGTCTATTATCTTCTTATCTTTGTCCTCCTACTCGCTGTTGCTGCTGCTGTTCGATGGGGCCCTTCGATGACGGTCTGGCAGGGGTTCTGCTGCTACAAAGCACGGACTGTGCTGAGCGGTTTGCTTCTTTGGCTGCTTACCAGCTGTCCTTGACACCCGGAGGGGGGCGGGGGGTGATGAGCGGGGCTCGTATGTTGGAACCCTCCCGGCGATGTTGGTGATGAATCCGCAGATTGCCTACTCGCTGTAGGCAACCCCGGCAGACACCGCAGTGTTTCTGCACTCAAAATATTTTCAAATCTAAATAGATTGAAAGTTACGCTAAATCGAAACTCTCCTGACCAGGCATGGAAAATCATTTACATTCATTTCGTGCATTCATTTACATTCATTTGTCTATAACTTTTTTCATCAACAGAATTCCGTAAAGTAATGTATGAAACTTTTGTAAGGTTTATAATTAGCTACAACTTTTGACAACAATTCAAATCTGTATCTCTTATGCATGATAAACGAGGGCCACTATTGTTTTTGAGTGAATGCAAATTACATTCACCGAAAAACAATAATATGTTCTGCCCGTTCTAGTTCATCATGCATAATAGATACAGATTTGAGTTATAGACAAAAGTTGTAGTTAATTATACAACCTACAAAAGCTTAATACCTAATTTTACGGAATTCTGTTGACGAGAAAAGTTAGAGGCAAATGAATGTCAATGAATGCACGAAATGAATGCAAATGATTTTCCAAGATTGGTATAAAGGAGGAGAATACGAACTTAGTATACAATTGCTCTATGAATAGCAGTGTATAAAGTGCACATATTCTTTCTATGTATAATCAGCGTTATTAATTCGTGTTTGAGGTTTGAAGTTGCTGTCGTTCATTTTATTGCATCCTTGTTTTTATTTTCCTTTTATAAAAAAAATAACAAAAATAGGGATACTCTTAAATATTTTTGACGTAGAACTACGTCTTTTCTCGACTATACTGGGGTACAAATCAAAAAATATGTGTGGTGAAATAGTGTTAGGTTTTGAACGCTTGTAATTTTGTCATTTATAGATGAAATTAAAATCCAAATACGCCAATCGATAGGATATTACTTAACAAATCTTCTGAAATAAATAACTTTTCCCATTTTTAATAAAAAAAACTTTTGAAAAATGCGCAAATGATAATTTTCGGCCCTGTTTTCATGAACTAAACGTTTTCCCCAAACCCAGTCATCATAAACGGATACCACTTGGTTGCACATCATTCTGCTTGAACCTGAAAAGATATAAATCAGTGCTGCTTTCCTGCCTCTGCTCATTAGCGCTTCGGACGGCGTGGCACTAGATCACGGCGTGATCACCACAATGAGGAATGAGACTTTGAAAAGTAATGTATGTAAAACCTCCTCCCCCCTTAACAATGACCCGAAAAAGACATGGACTTTGACGACCACTTTTTTTCCGGGAGATAAATTTTAAGCTCCCCAATTATAAGTAAAAGCAAAAGCCAAAATTTTCAAAACAATTGCTTAAGAGGAGACATCATCCGATGAAATTCTGTTGCTAAATTTCCAACAACTGGCTGTACAACATATCTGGTACCTCTATATATGCAATTATATTAACATCCATTGTCCATCTTTTTTTTCATATTCCGCACAAAAGAAACGTTTTGCCTCGCCCCATTCGTAATAAAACGGCGGAAAATCCTGTTTGTTTGGGGGCTTAGAAAGTATGTTTTGTGCAGAATATGTAAAAAAGGAGGCCATACTTTAAAATAGGCCTGATAGGACTAGGAACTGTAAATAATAATTAAAATCTCAAATGTACTAAAGTTGCAAAGACGCATCTGTGTCACTTGAACATTCATACATGTAAACCACACAAACACAAGAAATAAAGATCATTTAAAATCAAAAGAAGCTAGCAAGCACTAACAAAATTTCAAATATTGTTTGTATGTGTCCCATACATGAATTGTTGCACGTGATCAACAAATGATATCTATGTGTCAGCCACATACTTAATATGCATACATATATAAACCATGCGTGACCACACATACTATTCATTTGAGGGTCTGTTCATAAACTACGTAGACAGTTTTTTTTTATTCTTGACCCCCCCCCCCCTGCGTAGACAAGTGTCCATACAAAAAATTTAAAATTTGTATGGGCCGTGGATAATTATCAACTCCCCCCCCAAACTGTCTACGTACTTTATTAATAGCCCCTGACGTATAAATTGCATGCGTACTTCTGAGTGGATTCTGTTTATGTGTGGTCAAATGAAAATCATGTGGACTTTCACATGGATATTTGTCAAGAAAAATGTGTAAATTGTTTTGAGTGAACCATAACCGAAACATTGAAATACTTGAAAATTTTAAGATAAAGCATAATAGTCAAAAATGCATGAAAATCATCAATTTTGCGTGGTTCTACGTCATACTGCGGTCGTGTCTAGGACACAACCCTTTAATTTATTTTTTTAATTAGAGAGCTTCGATTCGTATTAGCTCCGTGCATTGTTGTGCCCGAGTTGTTTTCCACATCCGCATCAGACATTCTTTCGTCATCTGCCTCGGACTCACCGTCGGCTCCTCCACCGGCATTGGAATCCGTTCCCGATCCCACTACCGAATTGAGCAGGTTCTTGTCCTTCTTGACTGCGGCACGTTTGGAAAAGAGAAAGAGCACCAAAGTCGTAATCTGGTTCCGGACGTGCCGCGAGGATGCATGATAGCAACCATGCATAGATATAGAAAGAGATAGAGATAGAGATTAAAGAGTAAGAAGGCAGTTGTCTCCTCTTCTTCTTAGGCAGACAGCTTATAAATCCTGGATGAGATGACATTTTGTTCAACACTGCCCTCGAAATCCATTGTAACAAATGATAAGACAATCTTATTAAAATGTCGTAATAATACCTCTGACCAAGGAAAAATGATTTATATAATTTTCATAAAAGTTGACGATACAAATACTAATGAGGAAAGGAATTCCGCATTTCCTTTTCCCAAGTCCTTTTCCTCTCCTTCCCTTCCCTTCTTCTCTTTTCAGAAAGCGAGTAATGGCGCTATAACCATATGCCATATAGGGCTAGGACAAGAGTTAGTGCTCAGGTCCCAACTGCTAGAAGAAAATGGTAGCGAGCAAGGGCGCTATAACCTAGGCGAATACAGCATTCCCTCCGTATAGGTTACGTCCGCACACCGCTCTCTGTTGTCCTTCGACTGAGGTCGGCTGGATCGATTGAGGGATGGCAGTGGGTTGGCGGTGCCGTCCACGCTTGTACGGAGGGAGGACTGTACGCTCGAACACAAGGGGTAAATACCTGTGTTCCATCCCAGGAGATCGGACAACCAAGGAGTGTACATTAACTTTCTTAGCTCTGTCACTCCCAACGATTTATATAGCCTATTTTCAAATCCAGCATACGGAGCGGTTGGTACGGTATGTCCCCGCTCTTTGATTACCTGTGGATTAAATGTTAACCACTGTCTATACTTATTAAGTAGACATGGTAAACATTCACTTCCACAAAAATTAACTAAACGCTACACAGTAGGCCTGGCCGCTTTATTGTTTGTTTCACATCCTTGATGTGCAGCAGGCATTAATAATGACAAGAAAAATGATAGATGTATCATTTTCCAGGATTCTTTCAAGTACTGGCTGTGTATGTGTAGACTAGACTAGACTAGACACTGCCCTCGAAATCCATTGAACACTAAATGTCCCTTTCAGTATTTATCATTAAAAAAATAAAAATATGAAGCGTTTATCAAGCGACGAACCTTTCGATAATTGACACCTTATACCATGCTCCTTATGCGAAACCTACAGCACTATCCTGTAAGCAAAGAGGTATGGGCCAGTGTTTAGCATGTGTTAAGTTCTAAGCCCTTGGATACAAATTACCTGATCGTAAAGTACTTAATCGAATAACAATGCAGAACTGGCGACCGTAAAGAAAATGTATATTGAACGCAGAAAAATATTAACCATTAACTGCTTCTCACGCATATTAAAATGCACGTTCATTGTTTCAAACGTTTATCGTTTTCATTCACACCATCCATACCCAACAAAACGATTGCATTCAAAGTGCTACGCTTCATGCCTTCCATTAACGCATTTAAATCTATACTTTCCCACAGCACGTTCCTGGAATCCGGAGGCCGCCGAAAAGATGCTGCGTGACTCGATGAAGTTTCGCGAACGCTGGAATGCCGACGACATCGACAAGTGGCCCACGCCGCAGATTCTTAAAGACTTGGCCCCGCATGGCATGGCGGGTTTCGACCGGGAGGGATCGCCGATCATCATCATCCCCTTTTCCGGGTTCGATATCTGGGGCCTACTGCATACGGTCTCCCGGGCAGACATCATCCGGATGACACTGCAGGCTCTGGAGGGATACATGAAGGTGGCCTTCGAGCAGAGTGAAAAAATGAACAATCCGGCCTGCCGACAGTTTGTGGTAATTTTCGATATGGAAAATTTCAGTCTGAAACAGTACGTGTGGCGGCCGGCGAGCGAAGTGATTATTTCACTGATCAAAATGTACGAAGCAAACTATCCAGAAATTCTTAAATGCTGCTACATCATCAACGCACCGAAAGTGTTTGCCTTCGCGTACAATATGGTGAAGAAATTTTTGGGTGACTACACGATCGACAAGATCAAAATTTACAAATCGGACCGAAACAAGTGGCTACCGGCAATCCTGGATCGCTGTCCGGCTTCCCAGATCCCGAAGCACTTCGGGGGCACCCAAACGGACGAGGATGGGAATCCCAAGTGCGAGAAGAAAATCTGCTATGGCGGAAAAGTACCAAAGTCCATGTACACCTCCAAGGAGGATAGCTTCAACAACAACCTCACCTTTACCGAGATCGAGATCAAGAAGGGCGGCAAGGTGAAGCTGACGTTCGACTGCGAGGACGCCGGGTGCTTCTTGAAGTGAGTATGCTAGTTTGGCTTAGTAGATACCTATTAACACGATGATCGCATGGACTGGGAAGCATATGAATGGACCATAAATCAACATTACCATCACCATATACTATCCTTTGTCCATAAGCTTTAATACGGTAGGTGGCCTTTGGTAGAGCCAACTCTGAGCAAGTTGTATACTCACTAGGTTTATGGCCATTGTTGTGATTGAAAGCTGTGGGTAATAAGCAACCAATCAACGCGTGATAGAGTTTCCATTCTACATAGATTACTCTACATTAGAAGGTTCATCAAATTCAAAATCAGAAAAAAAATGCGTCGAAAAGCTTTCAGATAAATACAGGCAATTTAGAATTCTGATGAATGTCGGCGTCTTAGTGGAATACCTGTATAAAGATAGAGAGAAAGATAGAGAGAGAGAGGGAAGGATTAGTAATTTCCATTTAATTCCACTACCTTATTATGCAGACTTCTTCAGTGTCTTGTACTAATACTCGACTCGACTCGACAAGACACTGAAGAAGTCTGCACATTGTAGATGAAATACGCGTATCTGTCAAGGATAATCAAATAAGGTAGTGGAATTAAATGGAAATTGGCCGGCGCCGGTGGTGTAGTGGTAAGCGTGACTGCTTTCTAACACCCCGATGGGTCTGGTTTCAATCCCAGCCGAGGTCGGTGGGATTTTTCTGAGGCATAAAAATTTCTGGTCACGTCTTCCTTCGGAAGGGAAGTAAAGCCGTTGGTCCCGGCCCATGTGTGTTGAATGGGTACGATATCCTACGCAGGTGTGGCAGCTGCCTTGCTGCACATTCGATTGCCGTCAATGGATGGCTATCGATGTCCGTCGGTGATTGGCAATAGATTGCGGAACAGAGACCGACGTTAAATAAAGGAAAGAAGAAGAAGAATATTATATTTGAACAAAATTCGAGTGAAGTTTAGTTCAATCACCTTTATTTTAGTACAAGAATAGTTAGTCCCCGAAATTTAGCATGACATGTGTGTTGCTTCAATTCCAGATGGGAATTCCGCACCTTCGACCACGACATCAAATTCGGCATCAAATGTGTCAACAAGAAAACTCAGGAAAGTGTAATCGAAGTCCCGCTGAAACGAGTAGCCTCCCACCAGGTGGACGAGTCTGGATTTATCACCTGTCAACCGGGATGCACCTGTAAGTAGTACATTGGGGAACATCCTACCTGCATTGTCTAACGATTCCCATTTCGCCATTTTCAGATTCTGTCCTATTTGACAACTCGTACAGCTACTTCAAGAACAAGAAAATTCGCTATTCGGTCCTGATGACGACACCGCTCAGTGAAATCGAACAGACGGCCAATGCAATCACCGTCACGGAAGAGGCAGTCGAAGTCACCGAGGATTAGGTTTGGGTTAATCAACCCGAAAGGTCGTCGACTGTGTTTATCGTTTTAGGTTCTAAATCACACCTTCATTTTTTTCGAACTATATTGAGAAAACAGCTTGAATGAAAATGTGTTTACATGGCCATGGTAATACAAAGCAAAAATCGGTACCTTGTACTTTCTGGAATGTTCGTCGAGAAATTAGCGGTACTAGTAAAACATAAAAAAAATGGTAGCATTCACAATTTAGTCAACACCCTGCTGTATCACTTTGTACATAACAGATTTGAATTTGAACTTTATCTTTTAAGCTAGATTTGTAACCTAATGTGAAGGAAAAAAAAGTCAATGAATAAACTTTGCACTCAGATTTCTTGAACTAGTTCAGGCGTTTAACGACTAAGCTTACTGGTGGTAGACTGTAATATGTGGCTATTCAAAAAATAGTGGATATTAATAGTTGAATATATCCAAATTCATATTTTTTTTTTCTAAAAGAAAAATACAAACAACAGGGAAGATACACAAGACCAAACATTGTTTCGTTATTCAACAAATGCTATATTCCAGTCCATAATTCACCTTAATTAGCGTCTCTAAAAAAACGAACTGAAAATACATGTGACAATATGATTATCCTGAAAAACAGATCACCAAAAAATATCTGTCACGAGAGTCAATTAGGAATCGGCTGTCAACAACAAAATGTGTGATTTTTAATTGTAATATCTATGTATAATTGAAAATAAACAGATTCAAGGAGCGAAACTTTTTGTTATTAGAGAAAATACCCATGCCATCCGAAACTCAGATTGTTTCGAATATACTCATCGTTTTCGTTCGAAACGTATTTTTGATGTAAAATCTTTTTTTATATGGAAAATATTAAACGGAAACGAGTTTATGAGTGATAGACTTCTCTGAAGCCCAAGTAAAAGTGCAAACTAAAATTAATCACGCCAAGGCTGTGTTCCATTTGTTGAATTTTCACTTAAATTTGACATTTCAAAAATATATTATAATTTTCAAAAATCCATCAACTTCCACCTTTTTGAACCCAGGTTTATTTGAAAAATTTCAATCTGTCAACCTTTCCAATAAACCTGCTATTCCACCAGACTTAACTCTGACCGTCAAGGAATTAATTTTGACAAACTCTTTTTTGAAAATTGGACGATCAGTAATAGAGAGATTTCCAAACATTTTAGCTAGCATTTTAGTTTATTTTCGAAGTGTCAAAGCGCCTTTTTCCTCTCATAGTCGACTTCATATGCTTCTTCTGCTGAACAAGAATTTAGGAGAATCGAGGCAAGTGTGTGCGTCGTTCTACAACGTTAGAAATAAAAAGCTTGCTGGTAAAGGGTGTCCCACATCAAATTGTACACGGAAAAAACACTATAGAAAATTACCCATTGGGTATTTTCTCTTGAACATTTGGGTAGAAGTAGTTTAGAGTGTATTGTTTACACTGTATTTTTATCGCTGTCAGTTTTTCGAAAGTTGCAAAAAATGGCGTCAACCGAAAAGCAACGTCGAGAATTGATTTTGCGCAAGCACCTGGAAAATCCTCAACTCTCTCGTCGGGACATCGGAAAACAACTCGGAATCATGCAGTCAACGGTGAGTGGTGTGATTTAACGTTTATACGAAACTCTGAGCATCGAACGGAAGGAGAAATCCGGTCAGAATGGATGTTCTTTTAGCGATCAGTATCACAAGCGTGTCGTGAAAGCAACAATCAATATGAAACTATCGATTTGAAATTGGCTCACTACTTGACTAGCCTATTGGTCCCAAGCTAATCGATTAACGTACCCCATTTTAGTCAAAATTTTAGTACTACACAATGTTTGTTTTGATTCGCTATGAAAGATTGACAGATAAAATGAGGGGTTAGTGGAATTTCCTATGTTTCGAGGGGTGAATCGATTAGCTTGGGACCGAAGATAGTACCAGAGCTGAGCCAAAAGTAGAGCTCGTTTCTTCGGGACCTACTAGCCTTAGAGTTACCTCTATGGTGAAAGCATTTAAGCGACAACTATTCAAATGTTTTCCTGGAGTGGTACGAAACCAACAGGGTCACTTTCGTTCCCAACCCCCAAAACACCGAAACTAAGGCTCATCGAAAAATACTGGGCTATTATGAAGCAGGCACTACGGAGGTCAAATCTGAGGAAGACATGAAGAAAAAGTAGGTTTCCGTACAGAAGAAGCTGCAGCCAGATGTTGTACAGAGCCTAATGAGTGGAGTTAAGCGTACGGTTATGGTATAGAAGGTGAATGAAATAAATATGGGTTATATTTTATTGTCTGAAAGTTTGAAAAGGATCGGTCAACTAGGTAATTTTCTACAGCGTTTTTTCCGTGATGCAATTTGATGTGGGACACCCTTTATAGCCGAGAGCGTAGACAGAACACGAAATAAAATAGATATTTATAAAACCATTACAACCACACTGGCATGTTGTTCATCGAACAAGCATTCAAAGGACAATTTAAAAGTATCGTAGTTGATAGTACTGCCACCTGTGACGCGCATAGTCAATTCCCTTGCGTGTAACGTTTACTCACTGCCGCCATCTGTTCAATGTAGTGCCCACCTCAGTGTACTCAACAGATGGCGGCAATGTTTTAGCGACGATGTTTTACAGTGAGAAATATTCAATGTGTTATGTCTGTTTGTCTGTGTTTTTAGGTTTCCGTGTGTAAGTGCACTAAGGCTCTGAACCATTTGGTGGATTATTTTAACTTTTGGTTAAAATTTGACAGATGAAAAGTTATCGATTAACCCTGCTATCCGAGCATGGTTATTTCTGACAGACAAGAAGTTAAATTTTGACAACCGTGGCTCGAAAACCGGTCGATCGACAGCACGGGGGTTTTCGAACATAGAAAATAACTTTCGAAATGTCACTTTTAACCACGAGTTAAATTTAACTCGGCAAATGGTTCACAGCCTAAACCGTGGACATAGGATCGTTTCTTGTACTTATACTTGGAGAGTCCCATTTTAGTTTGCATTAAATATTGTGCCTAGACTAGACCTGTGTGCCGGTCCTTTCATCGGCGGCGGCTTCGTAAAAATAATTTTTGCCTCGGCAGCGGTGGCGTGATTCCGTGCATCACTATGCTGGCTGTCAAAATGTCACAGTTCAAAGTTGAATTTAAACCAAAATATTGTTTTACTGTATATGTAACTTCCCTAATAAACAAATACCACAAACGAACTGTATCCCGAATGGGTAAACTATCCCACAAATGGTTTGGATGATACCCCGAACACGTCGTTAAGCCGTCAAAACATTTCGGAACAGTATCGGAACTATATCCTAAGGCAGTTTTTTCAGTTATTAAAATCATCCCGGATTAAATAGCCTATTCAGTAGAGATGGTCAGGCAAGGGTATTTTTACCCGAAACCCGACCCGTACCCGTACTCGACGGGTTTGGTTGAATACGGGTATGTAAATAAATAAATTTTCAGGTTCAGTTCGGGTACGAGTAACAACAAATGTGGAATAGTCGGATATCAATATTATCCAATAAAGAAAGTAATGATTTTGAGCATCAAAACAGACTTTTTGGTGAATTTCTTTAACAAATAATGTGTGTCTTGACAAAAGCAGAAACCTAGTATACACACTTAATCTAGCTCGGTAAAATCCAAGGGGGGGAGGTGGCTGTCAAATACGAACAATCGTCGCCTACCTCGCATAACTGGTTCCAAACGTAAACAAGCCATAAGAAACCTACAGCGTTTGTTTACGTTTGGAACCAGTTTCATACAAGATGATCAGTAGGCTGATTTGACAGCACTTCCCCCCCCCCCAGGTAAAATCTCCAAAAGCCGATTTCCTCGGCATTTACTTTTGCTGATATCTACGCAAAATATCTGTTTGTTAGTTGATATTTCAGCAAAATGTTATTTGATAGCTGAGTCTCGGCAATTGTTTTACCGAGTCTCAGCAATATAAATTGCAGAACTACTCGGCTGTTGGAATCTCGGCGAAAAAATTTAAGTGTGTATATGTTGATTGAACTGTAGATAATCAGGAATGGCTTTGTTTACCCAAACTCAAACCATAGAGATTTTCACGTCCGGTTGTGTTGGTGCGATATGTGAGAGCGTGTTAGTGAATATCCGAGGAAAATACATAACAAATCGATGTCAAACTCATTTTGACAGATCTACTTTCATACATTTTTTAGGTTAACCAGAGGAAAATAATAAATAACTTTACACGGCGTTGCTCCCGCTAGTGTGCGTGCGTTAAACGTCACTAATCTCTATACCCGTACCCGACAAGTTCGGGTCAGATGAGGGTATTAAGAAAACAAGGGGCTTATTACGGTAATCACGGCTCTTATTCTGAGTATCACTTGCTTATCACCGTGTAGTGAAACCCGTAATAAGGCCCAAAATTTTTGGGTTCTGATTTGGTGATGTTTCAGTACAATCTTCTCCATGTACTCTTTGAAAACTTATACCGACCACATACCAGTTTGATACAAGGGGCCCGTAACATCCTCATCATGCAGTGGAAGCTTCTTCAAATCAGAAATAGGCAATGTGGCGTCAGCATTTCTCCAGCAGCGTTTACAGTGAAAGCCTTTATCGTTGATGATGCCACGGATGTCTTAGAAAAACTTGATTGTTTTTTCCAGGGCGTTTTTTGAAAGAACTCTGGTAGTTGTTTTACAGCGACTTACTAAATTTTGTCACTGCTTGAATCAGTCGAGCCAGACGTGGCTCGAAGGATTTACAACATTTTACAACGTTGAGCTCTGTGACCAAGTTCGATGCTTGCGCCTGTAAAAAATTAATGAACAAAAATATTCAATAGAGTTATAGAAACGTTTTAACAAAAAAAGTAAACAGGTTATAATGCGATCTTCTAACACAGAGAATAATGGTTTTTGACCCCGACCGGGAAGACGACAGCGTCTTTTTGACCATCGCGATCTGTCGTTCACTACAGCCTCTATTTGATTTTTCCATTTAATCCATCCCTGTATAGCGTTGATGCGGAAATATCA